TCCCCCCCCCCCCCGGGAATCACGCGCAGCATGCGAGACCACGCACGGAACACCCACCCAGCCGTACGGCAGGCAAAGCTTCTGAGGTACGTGGTCGGGCCGTGGGCGAGGAGGAATGCGGCGGCAGCGGCAGCGGCCGCGGCAGCGGCCGCGGCGGCGGCCGGCGCGGTTGGCGAAGGCGTCGACGGTGTCGGAGGAGATCGACACCCCGGTGAGGACGGAGGCCTGGCCCAGTATTTAATTGTGATGCTGCTGCTGCTTTCGCCACTGGGTGGACAGCAGTACCGGAAGTTGGTCCCTCGGCGTGGTTCTGATCGCCGTCTTGGCTCTTGCGCCCCCACCCAGACACACACACACACACACCCCTTCTTCCGTCCTGTTGCTGGAGTCCAACTTCGTCACAGACCCAACTACTAGGAGAGTGTTCTGGTACTACTAGGAGAGTGTTCTTGTACTACTAGGAGAGTGTTTTGGTACTGCTAGGAGAGTGTTCTGGTACTACTAGGAGAGTGTTCTTGTAGTACTAGGAGAGTGTTCTGGTACTGCTAGGAGAGTGTTCTGGTACTACTAGGAGAGTGTTCTGGTACCACTAGGAGAGTGATAATGCGCCCTCATCTATGTATGTTACATCCACGTCCAAAAGCAAAAGACTGCCCCTTCCGGCGAAACACCCCCTCCCCCCTGAAAACAAAGTATCCCCCGGACACAACACGAAAAGAGGAAAACAAGATAGACATTCGCGAACAACCCCAGGGCAAACTCTCGGTGTGGCAGGGGGAAGCGGAACTAAGATCCAGGTAAACAGAAGCTGCTCGGTAACGGTTCACCTACGGAAAGCGCTGTTACGATGTCCGTTCTCCCGCAACCCCGACATACTCGGGGTACCACCAGAAAGCGTCAGGCGCTCCACCTCTCCCCCCTTTTTCCTCCTCGTGACTGACGTCTGCAGGTGTTAACGCCGGCAAAACCGGCGGCGGCGGCAGCGGCAGCAACAACGTCGACCCCAACACCATGAACGGCGGCACCCCCGACGGGACCAAGAACAACCAAAAACACCCCCCACCTCCCAGGAATACGAAACGCACCACCACCAACACCAACGCAGTCATCGTCGTCGACCACCACCGCCGGTTCTTCTGCCAGCTCGAAGTCCTCTGCCAGCCACTGCACCTCTTCCTCTGCGACGCTCGCATCGGCAACAGCAACAACGGAAGAGTAGGAAGCAGCGGCACGAGAGACCGCTACTCCGACGCCGCCATCGGCTCGGGGACGGTCGTCAACCGAACGGGGGGGGCAGGAGGAGGGGGCTCCGCGACATCGAAGGCGGGATCGGGGTCGGGGGGTCGGCCGCGAGGCGCGGCAAAGGGAACGACAGGCGGTGGCGGCGGCAGCGGAGGAGGGCGTGCCGCGTCGGGCAGAGGAAGGGGGTCTGCAGGCGGGCATGGCACGGGGGGGCGGGGCTCCAGGAACGGCGGCCCTCGGGCGCGGTGGTGCGAGGTCCGACAATTCTTAGAGGTGGGGTCCCCCCCCCCCCTTGCCCCGCTGGCTGTAAATGCTGGAACTGTCTGTGTTCAAGGGCAAGAGAGTCTAAAAACAAAATCAGTCCCACGTCTTTGAAATCTTCCTAATAATTTGACTGAAAATATATATATGTAAGTCTTGTTTAATGGTCTCTTCGAACGAACATTCGGGGGTTGTTCGTTGTTCCTGAGAGGCCAGAAAACGCTGTACGCGAAGCAATTGTGCGTGAGAGTGGAGATTGGTCCTAAATGTGACGTGGTGGCTTGGCAAGAAGACAGACATATATATGTGCATCAGGACGTATCGTCCAACGGCGAAAATAATCGGCAAAATTATTCACCACGGGATGAGTTTGCTCGGCGCAGGGCGTGATGAGCTGTGAACCACTTGCGCGCATGCTTCGAAGGGCAGTATTTCCCGCCACCTCATCGATTTCTCTCTGTCTGTGTTGGCCGTATCCCTTTTGGCACAAGGCAGCTGGCGGCCACAGAAAATCTCCGCCCAAGCGTTGCCATCGCGTTCGCGCATTTCGCGGTTGTTCCGTTCCGTTGCGGAACTCCACACAATTTTTCCATCCGTGCATCGTCCCTGTTGAGGATGCCGACAGACGACAAGGGCTAGCCGGAAATTCCTTGGAATAGATGTGACAAACCAACCCTTCGTTAGCTCGGACTCCGCCTACGCAGCCGCGCGCACCCCTCGTTCTCTTGGGTCTGTGTCACTACTGTGGACGTTACGGGTACGTGTGTACCTGTTTCTTCGTTCAGCTCCGAATCTCGTAATTGCCCCGCATTCCTTCACCCCCTCATGCACAACGACGACCACGACGACCCCACCACCACCACCAACAACAACAACAACAACAACAACTGACAACGACCGAAACATCCGCGGAAGGCCCTGTGCCGGGCGGGCGAGGTCGACGACGAGTGCACCGGAGCCGCCTTGGCCGTGCTCGAGCGAGAGGGCCGCTTCTGCGCTTCTTCATCGTGCCCCGTTTCGGCTCCGGCTCCGGCACCCTCCTCGCACCACGCCGTGATGGTGGCAGCAGCAGCCCCGATATCGGGGGGGGGGGGGAAGGGAGGGTTTTGGCGGAGCCCCGCCCCCGAGGTTGACGTAAACTTCCGGCGGTTTACGGCTGCGGTTCGGGCGATTCTTCTCTTCGAAGGTACGGACGGAAAATTTTCATGGAGGCCCATGGAAGAATCCGCGTGGTGTGTGAAGCGCAATCTTTCACGGACCTCAATTACCCTCGCTACAACTAACCAAAGTGTATTAACGTTCTTTCATTGGTATGCACCGAAAGGACGCTTGAAAACCTGAACACGTTTGGATCCCCCCCCCCAAGAAAAAGACTATAGTCTTTGGAACAGAAATTCGACATCATCAATATCTCAGAATGTGTTTTTCCTGACCCTTGCCGAGGTTGCGGGAATCAGCACGGAAGAGCCCCGCCCTGGTCTGCCCTTCCGTGAGACCTTTGGAATTTTTTCATGTCTTTGTACCACATACCCAAGGGGTGATCACCATGTTTTTCTTCTGCCCCCGCCCCCAAAGCACCCCCTACTTCCCTCCGTTCAACCGGAACACCAATACTTCTCAACACGATATTTTCCCGCCGGCTTACGATCTAAGTGACGTTCTACCCGCCCCCTGCTCGCCTAAATACGCATGCTAACGCACGCCAAACATACTCTTTCCGGCATCTTTGAACAAAATGCCATGGTATGCCGTACTGCTGAAGGCTTCTACCGTGAGGCTCGGCAGGCGTTTGTGGAGGTGGCGGGAAGGGTGGACGGCACTGTTTCCCTCGACAAGCTTCTGGCCCGCTTGTTCCCGCTAGATCGAAGTGGAACTCGCAGCGGGGCCAGGTCAGTTGCAAGCAAGCCTGTCTGCCAAGAGTCCCGAAAAGTTTGAGAAAAGGGGGGGACAGACTTGTGCAACAAGGATGGCCTGAAACAACAACATCAAAACAGCAACAACATTACCAACACAAGCTAACCCACGACATAATCAAGCACAGGATTCAATACGACATTGATCAGCAGTGCCAGATGCCCACGTGATCATATGCGCACGCAGTAGCCGCGGGCAAAATGACGAAGAGGGTGGTGATAGCGCAACGGGCTGGCGTGGAGGAGCGGTTCGCGAGACCATACGCTCGAGGCTCGACGTCGGCAGGAAAGGGGAGACCAAGGTGACCTGATGTCGCTATGTTTGTTGTGATTCGAAAACAGCTCCGTTGAACGGTCTACGGAATTTGCGTGCCGAAAGGGTCCGATGCCGTTAAACCTCAGTACAGAAACGGTCCCTGTACAAGGCCGCATGGTCCCCGTACAAGGCAGCATTCGTACGTCCTATCACCCCCCGTGAACGGTCGGCGAACTCGCGTGACACGAATGGATGCAGTATTCAAGCTGTCCCATGCTTTGTGAATAGTACCGTGTGCCCAGCATACGGCCGGCCAGATCCCCTTTGCGCTGTCTACACGGCCTTGTACAAGGGCCATCACTGCACATACGTAGCGAGTGGGTTCACTATCGGCGAGCGTGCCGGGTTGTCTGTGAAATGAATGGAGGAGGCAGATTGGTATGCATAGGGCCGGGGGGGTATGGCCCGGAGTCGCTACGTGCGTCGTTTCACTTCTTCTACGGCTTGCCGCTCTCTTTGCATGTTTCCATGGAACGGGGAACCAAGGCACGAGCCGATCCCAAGATACCAGGGGCGGATCACATGCATTCCTTGATGGCCTGATACCAATGGCCGTTTGACGGCATCATCAGCTGCAAGCACGTGATGACGCATTATTATTGCGGGGAGCGAAAGACGAAGGGGGTAACTAGGGTTAGGACCTTGCAGGGCGCATGACCGGTCGCGGTCCATTGCCGTTTCTTTCCCATTCATCCCCACCAATGCGTCAAAGCGAAATCGCCTAGCTCAATACCTACTACTGTCTTGGCTTGTACGCACGTGTAAACCGTTCCGGCTCAAAAAATGCAGGTCCGGCTCAGCACGCTCACGGACTGCGTGCTGTCTTCTTCGTTCCATCCGCTGTAAACAGCACCACCCATTCACCGGTGGTGGATGATCGCCATCCAGAGACTTCCGGAACGAGAGGAGCAAACGTTCTGGAAACAAATGTTCACAAGACATCTTGAGGCTCAAATAAACGTGAAGTGAAAGCTACATTGTTCGTGTAGTACAAGGTTTTAAAATTCGGCTTGGCAACCCTTCATCGCACCAAACAGGATAAGGTTGTCTGGTGGTGTCGCGTTCCTCGGCTGGCGCGATCGGCGCAGACCACTCGCAGACCCTTGGCAGGGGACCGTGTACACAGGTAGACGGAGAGCATGGGCAACGACACCGACGCTGGATCAAAACGACAGGTTACCGTTTGCCAGTGGATATCTCCTGGTGTGACACGCGGAGCGAGCCGGGATATGCTTCGAGGCGGTCGCAATCACGTTTTCGATTGGGAATCTCGACGGCGCCGACACAATAAATCAACCGTGGTTGGCCGCAGGCACACAAGCGCTAATTGCTGCTTCTTGCTTTCCGACACAGACAGCCGGTTAACACGCCGCGCGTGTCATCTGTCATCGTCAAAAGAGAATTTGCTGTGTGGGTCGCTTACTTCCCCGTTTGACTCGCCACCGGAAACCCGCAAAAACAAAACTATCACCAATCACGTGCTCACCTACAGCAGAGAGAGGCAACTCAACCCCCTCCTGTACCTCTGTCACGGACAGCCTTGTCGTGAAGCAGCGGTTCACTCTCACTCGCCGCAATCAACACCGTACGGTTGCGAGTCAGCGCACAGGGGTGCGATCGATTTTCAAAGCGTAATTTCTCCACAACCAGGATGGTGCGAGCGCCAACCGATGACTTCCAGGAAAGCTCTCGATGAGATTCTTCCAAAATCGCCCTGTTGGACAGCAGTGGTATTCTATCCTCCTGGTTGTGGATAACATACGGTTTGAAAATACCTCGCACCCCTGTGCGCTGACTCGCAACCTTACGGTATACCTACGCCCAGAAAATGAGGTTGTCCCTCCTTGGCCCCCCGCCGCCGCCGCCGCCGCCGTGCCCCAACCCGTAACACGCCAGAAAGCAGTGCCAAGCAAACCGCACGAAATGCAGCAGGCACGCCGGGTAATCCGGAAATAGAAGGTCGCCCCAACCCCCGCACACCCACCCCGTGGAGTGACGGTTATACCGGGAAAAAAACTGCAAGAATGAAAGGTTCCCCCGGTATTGAGAAAACGAACTGGTACGGTATTACCGTCCCCCCGGCCGCGCTTCCCTCTCCTCCAGCCGCAATGCCGCCGTAGGTACCCATGTAGCAGAGGGTCCCACGCAAGGGATAAAAAGAGCAGCTGATGAGACGACTGGCACCAAAGGGCGGCCAAGAACAAAACCATTTTCATTCCTCTGACAAAACACACGCCGTTCAGCAGCCAACGCGAAACACAAAATTAACCGCAGTGTCATTAGAACTAGTGCGAGAACAGCATGTTTGCTGATGGCGAAAACACCCCATTCAGCAGAACCCCCTGAAAATCAACCGCCGGCCGCACCATTTCAACGAGACGCAAGAGACCGCGAGCTGCTCATGGGGAAATCACCCCATCCAGCAAAAAAAAAAAAACAATCGCCGGCCGCACCATTGCAACAAGAAGCAAGAGACCGCAAGCTAAGCTGCTCAGGTGGGGTTCTCGTAGCCGTTTTCGTCCAGACCTCGGAAGGTAATCTCCTCCACGTCTTCCTTCACCGTGTCCTTGGGACCCGTCAGGTTGCTCCTGGGTTTCCGCCGAACCTACGGGGGGGGGGGGGAGGAGGCGTGCGTGGACGGTTACAGGCAGGGGAGCGGGGGAAGAGTGCTCGGTTGTTGTGGAAGTATTTCCCCGCGCGGGGGGGGTCGATTGATGTTGTCATATTACGGCCGTGGTGGCTGGTTTCCGTACGAAATAATGTTTCGGGGTGCCGTAGGGATACATACCTCCAGTCGCTACTTGCAGGGCGGGGTCGTCGCCCGCTGCGCACCGTCCGGCATCGGAACAATGACACCGGCCTCAAAAATAGGAGACGAGAATCTCGTAAAAAGGATTTTTTGGCACGGTTGCCTGAAGCAAGCTGCGTTGCCAACGCGCGCGGTTGTTATTTTAATTTTACCGATGTGTGTTTGCCGCATACAAAAAATGTTGTTGGGGGTGCCGTAGGGATGCCTCCAACTATGCATACGTTGGCAGGGGAGCGCGGAATGCCTTGTTGTCCTACTGCTGCGGTGGTGGATGGTTTCCGCACGAAAAAAGTTCTTGGACGGTGCGTTAGGGATGGACTTTTCTGCTACGGGTATACAGTGGCGGGCCCAGTATAGTGCAGGTAAAATATCTGGGCACGAGTATCCACTCCCATACATAAACCTATATAATCCCTGTTCTGAATAGTGCAGGTGCCCGGAATAGTGCAGGCAAAATCTCTGGACACACGCCTGCACTATAGAGGGCCCCCCACTGTACTATAAAAGTGGGTCTCGGAGAAGGTGTGTAGCTCAACCACCCGCCCGGTCGTGAAAAGCTGGGTGAACAAGGAAGGACCGCAGGTTCGTCATACAATACTCTAAATTGACTGCTAATATCATCCTCCACTCTTGCCTCTGGATAGAGTCCTGCACTCCCTTATCTGTGTATAGAGGCGAACCCATCGTGTCCCTCTATTAATAAGAAAAACAGAAGGTAGACAACGCTGTCCTCATTGTACCAACGAAACCAGAGAGTCTGTTTTGCTTGCCGGCAGTGCCGCGTTGCTCACCGAAAGGATCTCTGGTCGTAAGGATAACGACCCCGCTCTGTCTGTCATGATGGCCCAAACGAAACGAGAAAAGTCTGGGTTGCCGGAAGGGTATGCAGTGTTGCTCATCGAAAGGATCTCTGGTCTAAAGGATAACGGCCCTGCTCTGTCTGACATCGTGACCCAACACGACACCAGAGAGTCTGTTTTGTCGGCAGTGTCGCGTTGCTCACCGAAAGGATCTCTGGTCTTAAGGATAACGGCCCCGCTCTGTCAGCCATCATGGCCCAACCGAAACCAGAGAGTCTGATTTGCTGGCAGTGTCGCGTTGCTCACCGTAAGGATCTCTGGTCTAGGGATGACGGCTCCGCTCCTCTTCGCTACCCGCACCCGAGTGCCGTCCTCTAAAAACTTGTACGACACCTTCGTCGGAAACCTTGAAGCACATGATTGACAACGTAGAAAATAACAAGATGGGGCCGGCATTATAAGTCATCGCCTTGGTTGCAGATAAACAAGCACACAGCAATGAAAAACAAATGCATTTATTCATCGCTTTGTTTGATGTCAAACAAACGTATAAAATCGCAAGAACACACACACAACAAGGCGGGATTGGAAAGGGAGACATGCATTTACAAGTTGCTTTGATTGATACCCTCACACTAGAATGTAGTCGATTATATAGTTTTGTCTTAGCCCCGATAAACGAAAAGGCGAAGCGCTTAAGACGGGCGGCGGGGGCGAATGTAGTCAATTAAATACCAGGTAGTTTGTCATAGCCCCGGTAACGAAGAGACGAAGCGCTTAAGACGGGCGGCGGGGGCGGAGGGGGACAAGCAACGCAAATGGGCGCCTTGTTTTGACACTTCAAGGCGTGAGAGAGACGGATCCTCTTCTTTTTTCGGCTCGAGCGACGAAAAAAATACAATAAAAGAAACGTACGAGCAACACCGTTTAGTGCCTGCAGAGAAGAGCACTTGAAGAAGAGAACTTGAAGAAGAGAACTCCAACATCAACTTCGTATCGAAACAAAAGAAGAGCTTGAGTACCATTCGTGAGCCCGCTTAATAACGCTCACAACAAAACCCACATTGCTGGCATATTGTAGCCCTTGGCCTAGGAACTGAGAACCGCAGCCTCGGCAAAAAAAAACACAGACGATGAAGTGAGGGTTAAGCGCTAACTGCAAGTCATCAGACGCCTGCATTCGTCCCGCGACCCCTTGTCCTAGCATTGCACATGGTGTGGTTAACCCACGGTATTCTGTGCCGCCCCAAAACATGGCAAAAAAACATCTTCATCCCTTGCCCACGGAACGGGCGTGAACAGGGCAACAGAACCATGCGCTGCAGTGCGCACCGTACGCGGCAGGACTACCGTATACGACACAAGATAACACACCCCCTGGACCGATTTCAAAGCTCGATTTATCAACAGCAGTAATAGTCGCAGCGCCGTCAACGGCGGCGCTGAAGCCGTCTCTTGGAGAGCTAGCTCTCCAAAAATGTATAGTGTGTCGTTTTTACATCCTCTTCGTCGTGGAGAAGTCGAGCTTTGAAAATCGGTCCAGGGTGTGTGTTATTCTTGTGTCGTGCACGCTAGGTATCGCATCACGTGCCCCGTGGTCGTGCAAGGGGGCTGAGATACTGAAAGAACACCCCGTCGAGACGACGGCAACAAACGCAACAACAACCAAGCAGCAACCGCAACAACAACCAAACAGAAACCGCAACAACAACCAAACAGCAGCAGCAGCAACAACCAAGCAGCAGCAGCAGCAACAACCAAGCAGCAGCAGCAACAACCAAGCAGCAGCAGCAGCAACAACCAAGCAGCAGCAGCAGCAACAACCAAGCAGCAACAGAAACAACAACCAAGCAGCAACCGGAACAACAACCAAACAGCAACCGCAACAACAACCAAGCAGCAGCAGCAGCAACAACCAAGCAGCAACAGAAACAACAACCAAGCAGCAACCGGAACAACAACCAAACAGCAACCGCAACAACAACCAAACAGAAACCGGAACAACAACCAAACAGCAACAGAAACAACAACCAAACAGAAACCGGAACAACAACTAAACAGCAGCAGCAGCAGCAACGTGGCTGGTAAATACACGACAGACTGCCGTTGGGCCAAGCTGTGCTGCCTGTTAAAACAAATCCGAAAATTCTAGTGGCATGACGCTACCAAGGAGAGACCCAAAACAGCTGACGACGCACTCACAAAAGCCTGCATCACTCAATGGGAACCAAGCCGTTTTGGCTCACAGAAACACGTACACCCTCCTCCTCAAGCACGAGAACACTCACCCCGTCTCAGGACACACGAGGTTAACGTTGGTAACGTGGATCGCCGCTTCCCTCGTAACGGTAGTGCCTCTACCCCCTCCCTCCGGCTTCTTGCTGTACTTGCGCTGCAGAAAAGGCGAGAAAGGTTGAGCGGGGGGATGGGGTTGAGATTAGAAGAACAAGCTCGCATCAGGTAGGGCGGTAGTGTGTGTGTGCTTCGTGCCGTCCTCTCGTACCTCCGCCCCTGCACACGCCTCTTTCTCTCTGTCTGTCTGTCTGTCTGTCTGCCTCTGTCTGTTTTGTCTGTCTGTCCTTCCGTCTCCCTGCCTGCTTGTCTGTTGATCTCTCTCGCGCTCTCCATCACTCTCTCTCTCTTTCTGTCTGTCTGTCAGTCTCTTTCTCCCACCCCCTAGAAGAATTCCCACCGACACTCACCCGCGATGCTCAAGAATGCCACGAGGTCTGACTCACAAAAAATATGCCGCTCGTAGTGCTGCGGGCGACTCTGCTACAGCAGTACTTCACAACCCGAGGGCGTTCATGGCCGCGGCGGCGTCGAGCAAATCGACGACACGAAGACGACGACTCTCGCTCTCACCATGTTGACCCCTTCCACGATGATGCGGTTTTGTTTTCGGATCACGGCCTGAACGATCCCGACCTCACCGGTGTGGTGCCCGTTCACCACGTGCACCTTATCCCCTCGCAAGATCTGGGAGTCAAACGGACATCCGCAGGGGGGGTCGGAGGAGGAGGAGGGGGGGGGGGGGGGGGGGGGGAAAAAAAAGGGGGGGGGGTTTAAA